CCTGCTGACTGCTGAATTGTCCACCATAAAGTGAGAGCAAAGATGTTATTTCCTATGGTGAAAATGTAATAGGTCAGTCTTTATAAGCAGATACTAATGTTTTCAAAGAAAAAAATAGGTATTTTTGTAACATCACAATTCCAGAGATAGTCTGCGTTAGAATTTACAGTATGCTGTTCTACGATCTCCATCGAGATTGTAAGCACAGTCTTAGATACAGTAATAGAAAAAAGAATGCTATTTACCAGTGATTTATTGTGGGAGCCAACAATGAAAAATTCTTAGAGTAATTGTGTGCCTGGCCTAAATGTTTACAGTGAAATTCAATTTTATATACTGTTTATGAACTGAATAAAAAAAAAGATTCTCTAGCTGTATAAATACCTGATCACCCTTCTGAGAGTTCAGCTGAAAAAGAACTAGTTTTGGAAAATAGGTTACAAAAAATTCTACAGCATACAATATAATAACATGAAGTTAGCCAAATTGCAATACTCAAAGCTTGCTCTTTTACAGTTGTGTATTTATCTTTTGTCGAAACATCTACTGTTCAGTCCTATGCTCACAATAATATTCCTTTTGGAATATCATTCTAGAATATCCACTTATAAATATTTTTCTGACTAATTTATGTAAAAGAGATGTTTCACTAGTAACATTTCAGACTTTGGTTGAGTCCGTTAACAAGCATTAATTTCTCTTGTATTACTTCCCTGCTTAGAGCTTTGTCAACAGTTTTCTTCAGGACATGTCTCTTCGATAGTAAACTGAATCGGAGGCAGTAAACTGAACAAGGAAGACAGCAAACCTCCAAGAAACAAACTAGTAAGTAATAATTAAAAAAACACCCACTAAAAAGTGCTTTTCAATTTAAACAACAGCATAAACTTCAGGCATATTTCTAATGGAACCTTCAGTAGAGATGACAAGCTGTAGCCTCTGACTATTACTGTCAGCAGAACATGGAAACACATTTTTATATTGACTAATATTTGAAGTGGTGGGTAAATAAAAGGATTGTCTTAAAACATGCCCAAAAATATAGGAAAAATGCCTAGATAACACTAGTGTATGGCTTTAGTGGAATGTTATCCCATCCATTTCCATCCCTCCATTTATGTAGAAAGAATATAAAGATTTCTGAATAAAACAGGCTACTTGCTGCAGGAAAATGAAAAGTTATACATATTACATTGCATGGTCCTAGGACAACAAAAGAACATGAGTTTTACACATGATTTGGCAACACGCTTCACATATTACTGTTGATATCATCTAGAGGAACGCGACAGGAAAAGAAGAGACACGAATCAGAAGTCTAGAAAACACGGCCTGTGAGGAAAGACTTAAGAGAAATGAAGAGAAACATAATAATGATCTCTGCACATGAGAAGGGTTACTCTGATAAAAGAAGGCAATGATCTTGTTTCGTTGTTTGCTGTGGAGAAGACAAAAGCAATGGGATCCAGATCATAACAAATTTGTGGATTAGACGTTAGGAGGAGTTTCCAACAGTAAAGGCAGTGAAGCACTGAAGAGGTTCTTAAGAACATACTTGACAAGCACCTGTCCATTAACAGATGACCTGTGCTGGGATAACAATGAGTTACATAATCTTTCAATAGCTGATCTAAAAAAAAAAAAAAAAAAAAGAGAGAGAGAGAGCGAGAGAGAGAGAGAGAGAGAGAGAGAAATCCATGAGTATCAAGCTTGACTTCTCATAGGCTAATATGAAGCAAAGATGTATTCTGCAGACACTCAAAAACAAACATAGCTTTCAATGAACACCTTCAGCTATTGTGATCCAGCGCCACCACCAGAAGAAAAGTAGTCCTCTGTCTCCCATGAGAGAGATGCCGATTAGGCGAAAATCTGACTGAAAATTTTGTGCTTGGTTTTTTCAGTGAGTTTATTTTCAAACAAGTCAGTTTCCTAATGCAGCTCCTCACATAGGCAAACACATGGTTGAACAGACACAGGCACAGAGAAAAAAGGAAATGGAGCTACATCCTTGAGCAATTAAGAGTAACTACAAGCTTGGGGGAAAAAATAAAACTTTGTATGCTTCATACATCTTTTTTTTTCTCGCTCTCATGACCCGCCTAAAGAAATATTGGGTTGATAATAAATAAATAGCAATAAATAAATCCATGTTCCAGGCCCACAAAGCATTTAATAAACAATAATGCACAGGAAACACTCCTAAGAAGGAAAATAAACAAGGTGATGCAATACTCATCATATATTTTACAACAGATGCACTGATTACCTACCGATTCTAATAAAAAAATCCTGCATAACAGTACTATTTTAAGCAACAACATATTATGCTGGATATCATATTACTAGCTCTTCAAGATGGTACCCGAAAGAACATGCAACACAGATCTAAACATACTACAGTGTGTAGCCTAAGTCATCATGAAAAAGAAGTCACAAATTAAGTCCACAAACAGAACTTTTTTTCTTACATATAAACATGAAAATTGAGTATATGCTAAACTATATATACCACAGAGTCATAACAATAAAATACCGCAACGCACATTTGCACATCTGTTTGCTCCCAAACGTCACATATAACGGGATCATTCTGATCCCATTTCAGTCAATATGGCGTGAACGCTCCTGATCACATAGAAATAAATGCTCGAAATTAAAGTCAAAATAAAGCAGTCCTCTGTGTCATTGGTGCTGATGCAGAAGAGGACGGATGTGATGATAACCTTGGCCTAGGCCTTGGAGAACTCCCTTCTTGCCTATGCCATAGAGGTTAGGACATCAAAGAGATCATATCCTCTCTGTTCCTCCAATTTTCATCTAGAAAAATTGGAAAAACTAGGACCTTAGACACATTTCCATAAGCCATTTTTTTCTTCCAATTTTCTACTTATCATCTAGAGTCACCAACGACAGTTTCCTTTGCACAGGGTGAAAAAGGGAGAAAGAAAGAAAAAGAAAGAAAACGAAAGAAAAAACAAAAAGGACACTGAAAGGGCAATAAGAAAAAAAAAAATCAGCCCTAAGAAGTCATTCCGCTACTACAAGAAGGGTAGGAAGTAACGACAAAAACAGAAAAGCCCCTGCCCTCCGCACACACACACACCCGGGGCCGCCCTGCTGGCTGCTGCACGCTTATTTCGCCGAAGCTGGGGCGCTCTTTATCGCGGCCGCCGCAGGGCTTGCCACGCTAACGGCGAGCGCCAAAGCCCGGAGGCAACGCCAGGCCCGCGGGCCGGGCCGGGCCCGGCCGGGC